CTCCTCCTGTGTGATTAACTGCCTCAAGCCTCTGGAGGGTCAGCTATGAGTTGCTTCCAACTCGACAGTACTCAAAAACGTGATAAAAAAAAAAAAGAAAAAGAAACAGAATTAGGGTGCAGGGGGTTTCATGGCATCTGGAGTGATAATGTCTTCTAACGCTGGTTTGGACAAACCAAACAAGGGGGCTGCCAGTTCTGCTGGGAGGCCTGTGTGAGTGGCTTCCTCGAGGGAAGCCCTCAGCTGACAGAGATGTTAAGTCAGTAAACTGAACGGGAAAGTGTGATTAAATGGGGGTTAGGGTGACCACACTTCCAGACTCTGGAAAGGAAACTCACAAGTCGAGGGCATCGGACCACATGGGCCAGTTTTAAGAGACAACACTCTCTTGCGATTCCAGAAGGGGGTCATCCCTGCCCAGTGTGGACAACCTCTTCAAAGCACAAGGTGAAATGCTCCCCCCAGAGCTGCAGAAAGCATTCATTCTCTGATTAATAAAACAAGGAAGTGAGAACAGCTTCAGAAATATCTATTTCACTCTTTTTTTTTTTTCAGGGGAGAGAACTGTGTGGTAACATATCACATTACTGGCTATTGAAGCTAAAGTGAGCTCCGGTGGCCTAATGGTTAAGGAGTTGTGCTGCTAATCCAAAGGTAAAAGGTTCAAATTCACCAGCTGGTTCCTTGAGAGAATGTTGGACAATTTCTTCCGAGGCCATTAACAGCCTATGAAAACCTGCTAGAGAGTCAGCTATGAGTCAGCTCTGACTCAAAGGCAATGAATTGATTGAAGCTAAAGTATATTATTTATACAAAGATATTTGTGCTTGCTTCAGGTAATGTTGTGTCCTGTCAAAGTAACTTGACCTCCAAGAGTGAGGCATCACTCTGCTTGTTCTCCTGGATAAGGTGTCACCCAGCCAACACTGTTGGGATTGCTGTCTATGTCGGCATGAGATAAGAGGGCTTTGTCGGCCCGAAGACTCCAGCTCACCCGTCTTCTCCTGTGTGCCTGGTGCAGATCAACATCTGTTTAAACAGAGAGTCTTTGTCTTAAAATAATCAGTCAGCTGCACTAAACAAGCCTGTACTGAGCTACACATTGTCTGGGCCGCCTTGTTTGGGACATAAATACCTCAAGCCTACATCAAAAGTATTCCTGTAGAGTCGATTCTGACTCGTTGTGACCCTACAGGACAGGGTATCACCGCCACCCCCACCCCCCCCAGGGTGTCCAAGACTCTGAATCTTTACAGGAGAAGCAGGCAGCTGCATCCTTCTTCCACGGAGAGAATGGTGGGTTTGAACCCCCAACCATTAGGTTACAAGTCAAGACCTTAACGCAGCACCAGTGTTCTTACTGGGATAAAAGTTATAAAACCTAATCTTTGCTATCAAGAAATTTACAATCTTAGGAGGATATAAGGAGAATTGATGCCTTTGAGCTGTGGTGCTGGAGAAGAGTACTGAACGTACCACGGACTGCTAAGAAAACAAACAGATTCATCCTGGAGAGGGTTAAACCGGGCTGCTCCTTGGAGGCAAGGATTCTGGGGGCTTCGTCTGACATACTTTGGACATGTTGTAAGGAGGGACAGATCCTTGGAGAGGGACATCATGCTTGGGAGGGTGGAGGGACAGTGCAGGAAGGGAAGACCCTCTATGAGGTGGATTGATTCAGTGACTGGGGTAATCGGGATGAGTGTATCGGAGACAGTGCAACTGGCACAGGACAGAGCAGAGTTTAGAGCTGTTGTACATAGGGTCGCTATGAGTCGCAAATGACTTGAAGGCACATAATAACAACAAAAAGTGGCAAGTCAATAGTTCAACACAGGAACAGTTCTATAACAGAGTAAGACATAGAATACATACGTACAAAGAATTTAAGTCAAACAATGAGCTACAACCTACAGGAGTAGCTTGAGAACTTTATCCTAACGTCTCCAAACAACAATGGCAGATCATAACAAGCAGACAGTGTATTCTAAATTCTCACAAAATCAACTGCTTTCTAATTAATTTCAACTCAGCAACCCTTCATCAGGTTTCTGTTGTTGTTGTTGTTATGTGCCATCGAGTTGCCTGAGACTCACAGCGACCCTATGTACAAGAGCTCTGAACCCTGTCCTGAGCCAATCTCACTGACTTCAACACACCTAATCCTCTCACCCCAGGTACCATATCAATCTGTTTCATCCGGGGTCTTCCTCTCCTGGCACTGTCCTCCACCCTTCCAAGCATGATGTCCTTCTCCAAGGACTGGCTTCTCCTGGCCATGTGCCCAAAGTATGTGAGTAGGAGCTTCAAAATCCTCGCCTCCAAAGAGAGATTTGGTTTCACCCTCATGTTTCTAGGGCTGTGAATCTTAACTGGGAAAGGCTGCTCATCTTTCTCCTTTGGAGTAGCTGGTAGATTTGAACCACCAAAGACACAAGTTGAACTACTCATTACAACATGCTATAGACCGCCCCACAAGAGCTCATGAGATTAAAAGTCCAGCCAGCAGTCAACGGAACCAGTCACTGTTGCTGCGTGCTATCAAGTTGACCCCAACTCAAAGCACCTCGTTGTGACAGAGTAAAACTGCCCATAGGGTTTTCTTGCTTATAATCTTTATGGGAGCAAATCATTGGGCTTTCTCTTGCAGAGCCAATGGGTAGGTGTGAACTTTCCACCTTTCAGTTAGCAGGCAGGAGCTTAGCTATCTGCATCACCAGATAATCAGAAGGGCAGAATCCTGTGCCAGTTATGAGTGCTGTGGGGACACTGAGTCCCAGAGCTGGAATGCCTAGATTTGAAACCACAGCTTCACCACTTGTGAGTCATAAGACTTGATATAAGTTTCTTATTCACTGGCTTCAGCCGGGGCCTAGCACAGCTTCAAAAAAAGAGTTTCCACAACAAGATAAAGGTAAATAATTCAATAGAAAAATGGGCACAGGATATGAAGAGACACTTCACCAAAGAAGACATTCAGATGGCCAAAAAGCACATGAAGACATGTTCAAAATCCCTAGCTCTAAGAGAGATGCAAATCAAAACAACTATGAGATATCATCTCACCCCAGTCAGAATAGCAAAATTTAACAGAACAGCAAGC